ACAATAAATTTTGAGAACAGGGAAGACAAGACCACAGCTTTTGAAATCCCTTTCTCTTAAGAGGTCACATTATGGGTGGCAAGGAGATTTTTTAATCTCTTTGATCTGTGCCCAAGCTGACCTAAGGTGAAGGAACAGTGGAAAAAGATGAGGAACTGTGACTGCAGCCACTGCTGGTAAATATCCTCCAGGAATTCCCTGGTGCCAGCAGGAAGAGGTAAGTCTGTCTAGCACTGATGATCTGGAATGGAAATAAGTAGCCCAAATCCATGACCCCATCTCTTTCTCCTGATGCCACAGCTTTGGACTTGAGACATCAATCTTGTTGTAAGAGGAATTTGCCTTTTAACAAACATGAAAATCCAACTAAAAGCACTTAAAAGTCTTTCTGTGACCAGCATTTCCATGAGGATCTTGAGAGACAGTGCTGAAAGTCTTATTAGAGTCCTTTCTATCCTTCCAGGGGACAAATTCTTTAATAAACTGAAGGAAATGGTACCACCAAAGTTCTCTCCCAATGATCTTGCGGTCATCCAACCACTTATAAGAAATGAAGTCTGAATTTCTCTGGTTGGAGTTCACCTGCCACATTCTGATTCTCTGATTTTGTGGTCTAATTAGCTCTTTTATGGATTCTGACTCTCAAATCCCAACTGCTCCTGCTGCTTTAACATCTATGAGATTAATTCAAATTGCATTGTTAGTCACTGGGTCATGCAGTGAATACTGGACTCACTTTGGGTATTTGAGATTTACTTTAGAGACTGTGACTTTACTCTTCCCCAAAGGTTTAAGTCCTTTCCCTCCTGGATTGTCCTGTCCTGACATTAAATCCCATTTTTTCCTGGTCTTGTCCTATCTTCTCCACCTCAAATTTTAATTCCTTTTCCTCCTCAATTGTACTCTCTTGCCAATAAATCTCCCTTTTTTCCTGGTCTTCTCCTTTTACCTCCACTTCTAATTTTCCTTCAAGTTGTCTTAAAGCCCAGGAAATTTGGGAATTTAATTTCAGGAGCCTGTATAATAAACACAGACAAGGTGTAATCTGCAGTGCAGGTTTTGGGAAATCGCACCCTTCACACTGAAAACAAGAGAGTGGGGATTTAGGAAAACAGATTCCTTTCTAGACTTTTCCACAAGATATTGTAATGTAATAAAAGAACAGAATCACAGATGCTTTGGGGTGGAAAAGACCTTAAAGCTCATCTCATCCCAGTCATCCCATGCACATGGGCAATAATCCTTCCCCAGCATTTTAAGGAGTTTTCCTGCTTGTAGAAACACAGGATGAGCTGCTTGTGAGAGATCTCCAGAGGTCATTTAGTCCAACACAACAAGCTTTACCCAACAGCCGTGAAATTTAAATCGGGCTTTAAATCCAGGGTTTATCACCTTATGAATTTATTAAATAAAAATAGGAGCCTGTGGATTCACTGATATCCACGGACAGAAAGCTCTGTTGGGAAATAATTACATTTCATCAGCATTCAGCAGGGTTAGTACAGTACAACCAAAAGAATTCCTCTGAACTTTCCCATCTTTTCCTGTACGAAGAACATGTCCATCCTAAAAAAACAACTTTCTTAAAGCATTTATTTTGTAACTTAAAACCAAGCAGCTGACAGAGGTATCACAAAGCCTGCAAGCTGCTCTTATTACTGGAATTAATTCATCCTGTTTCAATTTTGGGGAAAATCCAAGGGCCAGTGATACGTGAGCACATAATTCTTCATCTCCATTTTCCACCTCATTTCCTTCCCTGTCACTACCTCTCCTTGACAGCAACATGTTCATGCTGGAGTTTTCAAACAGTGCTGATCAATGACACCAAAATACCCAACAATAAATGAATTATGGTTTTGGGTGAAAGAATCTGTATATAAATAAAACCCCACATGAATAAAAACTTCAGTCAAGGGATGTCTTTCCTCTCCAGGGCACCATCAGCTCAACAGCTTCTTATTTAACCCCAGGCTGCCTTTTTTTAGAGTCTGCAACAAACTGCTATGGCCTGTCTTCCCTCCCCAAGGGTGTGAACATGCCTGCAGATCAAGATATTGGTGTGAGCCTGCAGATCAATGTATTAATTCCTTTCCAAAGTGTCATTCCACCTTTTTTACCTCCCATGCTCCCGAGATTGATTGAAGTGCAGTGTACAACTCAGATCATCCTGATGCCCCATCTCCAGCTGGTTTAGACTGCAAGAAAGTGCCTGAATCTCACTGTAGAGTTTCCAGTTGGAGCTTTTGAATTCCTGGGGGCCCTTTGTGGAGACTTCCACTCAGCAGCTGTGCTCCTGCCTTGCTGGGGAATCCCCAGGATCAGAGGGGAAGGAGCAGCAGGGAATCCAATCCACCTCTGACTGCCCCAATTTAGAGAACACAGTGTGAAATAAAAGGATTGGAAACACATCTTCTCCACTGGCAGCATTATCCTGTCTGATTTTTGTTCTTTTAATCTTCAGGAGGCTCCTGGAATGCCCACAGGCAGCACTCCCATGCCAGTGCCTCCAGCAGCTCCAGCTGGCAGCAGAGCTGCCAGAGCACTTCCAAGAGTGGATATTGCCTGCCTGCATGGAATAAACGCTCCAAACCCTCCCTCTCCCACAGGAAACCTCTCACAGCCTTCCTGCTACAGCTCCTTGGGAAAACACCCCACAAATATTATCAAATTCTTCATGGAAATCTATTTGAAAGTCCAGCTTTCCCACTGAAAACAAAGCAGAGCATGGGAATCTCTTGTCTGTGGCAGGATTTATTCCTGGCAGAGTTCAGATTGATTTAAACCACAAATTGCTTACAATCCCCATCCCTGGAAGTGTCCAGGGCCAGCTTGGACAGGCCTCAGAGCAAGCTGGGATGGTGGAAGGTGTCCCTGCCCATGGCAGGGCTGGAATGGGATGAAATTTAAGATCCCTCCCAACCCAAACCACTCAGGAATTCTGACAATTAGACAGGGCACCCAATCCTGAGACCAAGCCTCCTGAGTCAAAAATCCTGAAGGATCAAAGTGATTGTGCACCTTTTCCATGTCGTTCCTCACCACATTCTTTGCTCCCATGAGCAGTAGGGTCAGATCTTGGGTTTTAAGGTAAAAATCTCTTGCTAATTTTTTTTTCCCCAGGTAAAACGGATAGGTGGCATTCAGAAGGGAAAGGGACACTACAAAATCTGCCTTTTCATTAAAAATACTTTGCATGACTGCTTGCTCTGGCAGATTTTAAGTTTCTGTTTGAAATGAGTAAAAAAGTTTTCTGAAAAGCAGTTTTGTTAATCAGTGTGTTAATTCTTGGTAGGGAAAACACACAGCACCTATAAGGATTTCTTCTTTTACCAGGCTATTCCCATCTGAAAGAGCCCTTTATGTACATTTTATCTGCATTAAAGCTTCCATACAAAATTTATTCCCATTAACACCTCTCCCACACCCTCTGTGGGTTTATCTACAGTGAAGCACAACACACCAAAAGCTATTTCAGTTTTTAAGGAATATCCTCAAACAACACTGTTACACCCAAACTCTCATCACCATTATTTCAATAACCTCACTGGAGCCGGAAAAAAACTCCAAATGCCCCAATTTCTCTTTTTTATACTACAGAATGGCATTTCCAATGGATATCCCTACATCAGTTTGCAGTTGTGAACATGAGACAGGAGAAATACACCCAGTATTTTGGCTATAAAGAAAAAGCTTTCTCTATCCAGGGATAAACAGGACAGGAAATGACAGAAGCTGTTTCTGTCACTCCAAGTAGGAATAAACTATCCCAAGGCTCCAATAAATATTTTCATTTCCACACAACTTAGAAATTGCACTAATTTAGAAGCCAGAGAGCTTCTTGTGGCAATAACTTCTTGTATTTTACAGTTCTGTCATAGCTAAAAATAGAGACAAGCTTATGTTTGAGATGATTGAGCCTTGAGGGCCCTCAGCAAAGCACAAAATGGATTTGAAGGATATTTGGGACTGATTGGAAATGTTCCACCTGTGCCTTTTAGGATGCAAAATGAAAAACAAGCACACAGGTAGGCAATGACAAAAAGCAGAGCAATAATTTATTGATTTATCAAAACTGACTTAATTGCACTGAGGGATCCTAGCTTTGTCCAAGACCAGTTCTGATTTCTTATTAAATAATATAATGATGGGAAGGAACATGATTATTATGGGTATTTGGGTTCCCATGGTACCCAAAATGTCCTGTTTTTTCTGAAGCTTCTACTTAAGGAGCTCCCATTTTCTCTTGTTATGGTTGCTGCTGGAAGAAAAAAAAAAAAAAAAAGGCATATTTTCCACCTAAATTCCTGGAAAATTCTTCCCAGTTCTTCTTTTACCTACAGTGCCTGATGTATCCAACCTTAGTGCAGCAGATATGAGACATATTCAACTTCTGGATTGAAAAACCCTCAAATTAGTATTTTCTTCTTTCCCTTGAGTCAGGAGAAATAAATATTACCAAAAAAAAAAAAGAAGGTATTTTCTTCAAGAGTCTGAATCCTCATCCAGAAGACCCCCATGTGTTATAAAAATTTACAGCTTCAAACCCTCAAATAAACACTATCCCCTATTTTTATGCCAGGTCAGTAATTATTTCACTCAGGGGTTAAACTGATTTTCCCTTTAATGGCCTTAAAACTTCCTCCAGGTGTGACAATTTCCTACCCCGGGTGTCACTTGCTCAGCATATTTGAATTCTATCTCAAAACAAATAATTTTAAAATGTGGCAACACTGTTTTAACCCTGTAAATCTGTTATCAGCAAGTTTTTTATGGTGGAATTTCTTAAAACAAGCTTTTTGATGTGCAATTTTTAAGTGACAAAATGTTTTTGGTATTTAGCACAGAGAAGAAAACAATTCCAATATTTTAAAGCCCCAAAACATGCCACTGTAGCCACAAATGGAGAAGTTATTTTGATGGGCATTTGTGTAATTTTGTGCTCTTTCCTCATTGTCTGCATAGCTTGGGTAATAAAATAAACAATTTTAATGACTTACCCTTACTTGACCAACAAAAGCATTGGCTTCCTCTTCCTGCACAGAGAGGTTTTTGGGGAGAAACATGTCAAAAACTGGTCCGTTGTCATTGACATCTGTCACCACTATATTGACAGTAGCAGTCGATGTCTAGGCAGAAAAAAGAACATTTTAAAGAAATTCTCTTTATTTTATAGCTTCCCAGGTGACAACCCTCCTGTAAATTATTAGACAGAATCACAGGTAAGCAGATCATCAATTTTTGAAACATGTTTTTGTGAAAAGGGAAGCATTTCAAGAATTTATTTTGAATTTTTAGAAGACAAAACAAGCTCAAGACTGACTCATATATTAGAGATTCATGATAAGTATCAGATATCATTTCTTTTCATACAGTATTTTAAGGATTTAAGGAGTTGCTCTGAGTGGAGGGAAAAATCTGGAAATATCAAAATTTGCCAGAATGGGAAAAGGAAATTAGTGATTTATCAATCAAAATATGCCACAGTGATGATTAACTAAGCTGATGAAATGGCAGAATCATCCTGTATCATGCTCCTGTGTCATCCTTCCCCCACCCCATCCTGATGTTCTACTTTGCAACCCAATTTTAACATCCCAGGAGGTGGGAACAGCAGAATTAACTGTGTTTAATATAAAATGTTAACAAAATACGACTCCACTACCTATGGAAATTTTCTCTCGCAATGAAAAACATGGAGAGGTGGTGGCTTGAGTCACTTCCCTTCTCTCTGCTCCCACAGACTGAGAGCTCCAGACCAAAACCCCACATTGTTGTATTTATAAAAATTATTCTGCTCAATACATTGAATTTTAAATCAGTTCATCCAACTTAGTGTCTTAAATCTTTCTTGTGCCTTCTGATACTTTGCATGAAACTCCTCTGAGGGAAACTTGGGCCCTGAGAGCCCAGAGAGCCCTGGAGGGGCTGGAGCGTGTCCAGGGCAGGGAACGGAGCTGGGGAAGGGGCTGGAGCCCCAGGAGCAGCTGAGGGAGCTGGGAAAGGGGCTCAGCCTGGAGCAAAGGAGGCTCAGGGGAACCTTCTGGCTCTGCACAACTCCCTGACAGGAGGGGACAGCCAGGGGGGGTCGGGCTCTGCTGCCAGGGAACAGGGACAGGACAAGGGGAAACGGCCTCAAGCTGTGCCAGGGGAGGCTCAGCTTGGACACCAGGAGGAATTTCTCCATGGCAAGGGTGGTCAAGTTTTGGGATAGGCTTAAAAGAGGAGTGGTGGAGTCCTCATGCCTGGAAGTGTTTAAAAAGTGAGAGGATGTGGCACTCTGCAGTTGTGGTTTAGTTGTAAGGTGGTGCCTGGTCACGGGTTGGACTTGGTGACCTTGGAGGTCATTTCCAACCATAAAAATTCCATGATTCCATGAAATGCTTATGACAGGTCAGTCACAGCAATTACACCGTGAAAATGTGACCCCAGAAGAAATCCCTTGCTTTAAGAAGAACAAACCTGTTTGAAAGTGGCACCTCACAGGCTTCATAGAGAAGCCTGCAACCATCTTCCCTTAACAAGAACCCCAAAACAGAGAAATAAAATAAAGAAACAAAGAAAAAACTAAACCAAATGAAACCTCAACCAAAAAGTCTGAATGGACACCTGCACTTCTGGTGCTCTACTGGTGTCAGAATCAGGCTCTTCCCAGCTCCAGATCCAGCTGGTATGATTTCAGTGTCCCAAGAGCTCCCAACATCTGCATCAAATAACTCCTTACTACTTAAAAAAAATCAAAAAATCCAGAGGATTTTGGAACAAGGTAGCACAAGGGTCTCCCAGGCTGGCAGCTTCTGTTTACTGAGCCCCAGTTATTTGGTAATTGTTCCTGAAACTGCCTCCCACACTCCATTTCTAAAAGGTGCGTTTGCACTTTCTGCCTCCTTGTCCATGCAATAGCCACTCCAGAACGTTTGCTCTGCTGTGATGCACACTGAATGTAAATTAGCTTTTCCAGTCCAACTCAACTCCATGAAATTCATGGAAATGAACACCCTCACATTTCATAAACTGAGGCAACATGGTGTTAAATAACAATGGCTTAAGGCAGAAATTCACATTTAGAAAAGATTTCTTTTCATTCCAGATAATTTTAATGCACTGATAATCTGCAGCATTTCTTCTCTTTTGAGAGGATTTTATAAGGAGAAAGACAGGAAGGAAGGAAAAGAAACATTTGAGATTTTTTCCCAACTCTTGCCTAAGGATTTTCAATATTTTTCACATTCCTCTGTCATTTATTCATCTTAAGCACCCTCCACGTCAGCCAAAACACCCAGGCCAGTGCTCCACTTGTCATGATTAAATTTTCACTCCTGAATTTAAAAGGCAAGATTTTTGCAAAGAAATAATATTTTTCTAGGGAAATAAACATCTTCTTGAGATGCCAAATAGTAGAATTAGTTTTGAAAATTTTATCAAATGCTCCTCTCTTTAAACTTGCAAATATGTTAAAATAAGATCCTGTAAGAAGGCCAACATTTCAAGTAATCCTTGTTTTCATATGTCACACTTTAGAAAATTATCAGATGTGAATTAATTCAGAATTCACTATAACAAGACCAGTATTTTAAATAATCTTCCTTTTTTATTAACCATAATTTAGCAAATGACCAGAAGTGGGTGAAATCACAAGGAGAATTCAAAGCAGACTCTGGCTTAGCAGCAAACCCCTAGGTTCTGTTCCTTAAAATCAGTAACAGACTGAAACTGAGAAAAAAAATGGGAATACTTAAAAATCTCTCTATTTCACCTGAATACAGGAAACATTTATTATCTCACTGTTATCTCAGCAATGCCCACCTTTACCATGAAGTGGGACTCACCCATGTGTCTTTGAGAGAAGCACTTCTCTCAAACATTAGAGAGTCCTGTGATCAAAGATTATTAACCAAAACCAATGTTTTTAGATCCCCATTAGATGGCTCCAAAGATTTGTTGAAGCTCCCAGCCCCAGATTGATGTGCTGTTCTGAAAAAGCCCTATGGAATCACAGTTTGTGTGGGAAAGGACCTTAGAGCCCATCCAGTGCCATGGGCAGGGACCCCTGCCATGGGCAGGGACACCTTCCACTGTCCCAGGGTGCTCCAAGCCCCAAAGTCCAACCTGGCCTTGGACACTTCCAGGGATCCAGGGGCAGCCACAGCTGCTCTGGGCACCCTGTGCCAGGGCCTGCCCACCCTCCCAGGGAACAATTCCTTCCCAATATCCCATCCATCCCTGTCCTCTGGCACTGGGAAGCCATTCCCTGTGTCCTGGCCCTATGTCTCTCTCCATCTTTCCTAGAAAGTGAATTCACTAAATTTCTTAAAGAATTATGAAAAGTTGACAAGGCTTCTAGAGGATGCTAAAAGAGGCACAGAAACAACAAAGAAAGGTCTTCACAAATATATAAATACCACTAAAATTCTTTAAAGAAGTGGTTCCCTAAAATAAGGAGAGACACCTATTTCACTATCAATTTTCCAGGGATATTCCTCATGCAAATCCAACACAGGAAGGTTTGAAAATTGCTTTGGCTGGTTAAAAATGAGGCTTTTCTACCACAGAATCATCAAACAGGGTTTGGGAAGGAATCCTAAAACTATTCCTTGAAATCCAACCAGGGAACAAAACATCTCAGACTCGTATCAGGCATTTCCTATTCATTACTGGAGAAACCCTGCTTACTTCCCTTTTATAATGAACATAAATAAAAGATCCACAGCAGCAAAGCAATTTATATATTTCTTAGGGGCCCTCAAATAGTTCTTATATAGATAACTCTTCCCTAAGCAATATTCGTAAAATTTACATTGCCTGCACAAATCTTAAGGATGCCAGGCCCTGAAAAATGTTACGGATGATAAATCTGAAGGAAATTCCATTTTATTTGTATCCTGTCATTTAAATTGAAGTTGGGAATTGATGAGAGCATTCTATGCCTTGGAGAGGAAACGTTCTTGGCTCTGATGTCAAGCAAGTTTATTAATTTGGACAAACTCTTAGACAAACCTGTCATGTTGAAAGATAATTAGTTTCCAGATAATACAACTGGAGGCAAAACCTTCATTTGATCAAAAAAGAAATGGTAAATAATGCTGCTGATCTCCTGATATCAGGATTTATTGTTATTCATCTCAAGAAAACTGTATTTGAGTGGTGACAGAATCAACAATTCTATGATTCTATTTTCAGACCTTCTTTCCTTCCATGAGAAGTTTAAAAGTATCTCCCAACCCTCTCCAACTCCCCAAGCTATAAAGACAAAATAGGCAGCTGGACTGCAAAGAAATTTTGGAGAGAAGGCCCTGTGGTGAAGGGAAGGGTAGGTCTTGTCAATAATTACACTAATGAGGAAAAATCCCAATAAGCCTGGAGACGAGACAAAGAGAAAAATTGTCAAAATACCAAAATAAAGCCCAAAGGGAAAGCTCCCAAAATGAAAACCTCACACATGGCAAAAGGTAACAGAATGTATCAGAACAGATGAGTATTCCACATGGAAAGGAAGAGAAAATAGTGGGCATTTAAGGAAAATTCTTGACAAACAGACAAAATTATTTAGGTTGGAAAAGCCCTCTAAGACCAGCAAATCCAACCCTTCCCCAGCACTGCCAAGGCCACCCTGACCAATGTCCCCAAGTGCCACAATCATACGGCTTTGAACACCTCCAGGGATGGGAACTCTACCACTGCCATGAGTGCCTGTTCCAAAGCCTGAGCTCCCTTGCCATGGAGAAATTCCTCCTGGTGTCCAAGCTGAGCCTCCCCTGGCACAGCTTGAGGCCGTTTCCCCTTGGCCTGTCCCTGTTCCCTGGCAGCACAGCCCGACCCCCCCTGGCTGTCCCCTCCTGTCAGGGAGTTGTGCAGAGCCAGAAGTTCTTCCCTCAACTTCCTCCTAATGGGAACTTACTTATTTGTATCCCTTAATTCATCCAAATTTTGAATTGAAAATTAGGATCAATCTATTGCTTTATGAAAACTCTTTAATTCACCCTTTCCCTTTTAGCACATGAAATCAAAGCCTTTATAGGGAATATCCATGCTAAGCCACCCAACCATGGAAAGTTCGGGAAGCTACTAAAGCTTGCTGTAATAAATGAGCTGCTGTGGGAACAAAAGCCTGCTCTCCAAGAGGAGGAAA